TCCTTAGCTCGTTGCAATTTGCCCTCCTAAAATCCAGGGCCTCTGCCTTACTGCATGCCTTTGTCACCTTGCGCTATAAGTAGCAGTGAATAAGTATAATTTTAAATCCTATCAACCTCAAATAATTTCTTGAACAACATATTTTACTGATATTACTTTAAATTGATAGTTTATCTTTAATTTTCCTCATCCAATCCCTCTTCTTGTAATAACTCTTTAAGCAAACTCTTTAATTAAGCAGCTACTAAGAAAATCCCAAAGCAGAATATTATCACTTCAGCCATTGATCCAGTAACCTAAAGTTCACACAATAGCGTAAGTCACTCTAACACTCTCTGACTCTTTGTTCACCTCTTTCCTCCCATTAAAACAACTGTTCCACTTTCTTGACTGGCAAGACCTGAAAACTTGGTACATGTTCTCTGACTGTGACCTGCTTTCCTAGCCACGCTCTCTTGAGAGGAACTTATTAGCTCATAGCACCATTATGCACCTCAGGGTTTTTTAAATTGAAAAAAAAGAAATCCATACACACACACCACACCCCTCACCCAAACATTCAGATAAATATTAAGATGGAGCAACAATCCAGCGTAAGACATGAAATTTGAGGATTCAAGAATGTGTTACATTTGTAATTCTGAATTGCTTTCTACTTCTTATACACTTGCGTTTTAATAAGGGTTTCATTCTTCTATTAAGGAACTTAATGGAAAACGTTCAAGAGAAAGGCTCATTCATTAGGTATACAGATAATAGAGATATGCATATACATAATTTTATATATTTCTTTCTCAACTAATTCAACAGATCAGAAGACAACTATAGTTAGCAACATAAATAATGTATGTATTATTATATCCATTTACAAGATAGGTTTGTATGCATTTAGATATAGTAAAAAGCAGTGAAAAATATTGCACTTGAATATTAATCAAGTTTCCCAAGCTACAGGTTTTCTTTCTGGAGTTTGTGCATTTTTGTTTTTGAATGGCAAAAGGGCCAAATATATATCTGGATAAAAGGGCTATATTTCCTTTTCTCATGAATAAAGCAATGAAATAATTTACAAGTATAGAAAAAGTATGTTTATTGTTAGTATCATACTTTTTACATCCCTAAATAAAGTCTTATCTCCGCAGCTCTGCAAGCATTCCCC